TGCTTTTTTTAGCCAGATTTCTGCCAGGTAAATGGATCCAATGATTGCATATTTGACCTAATTGTCCAAGCAACAAATGTGTTTGATTATTTTGTGGAGATAGGAGATAAAAGACAGTTTAGAGAAGAATGTGTCCACATGTTACGTGTTGCTTGGGAACTCTTGAGCTCTTAAAAGAAAATGCACTATGATTTCTGCCCTCTGTCCCCCACACCACTTCTTTGTTCTCTGTATATCTGCAATCAATTGGTCAAAAAGTAAGGTGAAAAATAAAGAATAGTTACACTAAATAAAAGATCTAATGCAGAATAAAAAAGAAAAGAAAGGACACTTCCAGACTCTAGTTCTACTACTTGCTTGCTCCTCTTCATTGGAGAAGGAATACATTATCCGAAGAGGGGAACTGGCTTATAAGGGTCAGACCCTTCTCGTTTTGTGTGCATGTGATGGGGAAAGATCGTCCTGCTTACAGAAAGGAGGCATTTGGGTTCATTCTACTCTTTCAACCATGTGCTATTTTCTGCAAACATCCCTAATGCTTCAGGATAAAATCCAAACAATTTTTGCTGGTATCTGGGGCCTTACCTGGTCTGGTGTTTGCCTCCTTGGTAACAATCACTTCTGGATCCCTGTCCCCCGAATCCACATGAAATAGGTTTCCAAATCCATGAGGCTTGCTCCTACTTCAGGGCTTTTGCCCAAGCTGACCCCTCTATCTAGAATCTCTCTTCGTTATTTTTTGAGCAGGTTAATTTGTACACACAGTTGAAACTCAGATCGTCACCTCCTCTATGAACCCTTTCCAGGCATGGACCAGAAGTGAAGGAGGAACACTCTCTGTGACCTCTTGAGGTCAACAGGGGTATGTACAACACTGTTCTTTAATTATCCGATTACCTGCCTGGTCCCTAATAGACTGTGAGCATAGATTTTTTTTTTAACCACTATACCACAAAGACTAATATAGTATTCTCCAGTAAAAATAGTTAATAAGTGAATCTATGTGTAGAACATAGAATAGATTTGAGACATATAGTCACACTGATTTCATGTATTGGTTTATTTTTATACTTTTAAAAATTGGATTTATATGAGCTTTCAATTTTTACATTATTAAAGGCTCTTTTTAGAAGTTCCTATCATATATCACCACCATTCCATAAAAGAATATTTGCACCAAAAGTATAGGAGGCACCTTAACTTAAGAATAAAGGACAATCTTATAAATCACCAAACACAGGGACAAATTCAGCAGAGCACTATGGACTAGCCCAGGATCATGACCTTCCATCAGAGGAGTACTTGGTGGCCACTGACTTACAGTCTCTTCCTCAAGTGTAATTTCTCACTGAGGCCTTTCTAGGGCAGAAAGCAAACAATTAATTAGAGGGAGCACTTTGTGAGACTGTCTAACGAATAAACTAGGATTCTCTTTGCTGATTGAGGCTAGATCCACGTGCTTCGGTAACCAGAGGAAATAGTGGTGGGTTTGACAATCTCTTATGAAAAGTGAGTATATTCTTTAATCCTCACACCCCATCATTCCCTTCAGAGCCGCCATTTACACCACATCACTCACCCTGGGTTGGCAGCTATGCCATGCCTAGAATGAAATATGAACCTGCTCCCCTTTCCACCAGCTTTCTCCCAGGCTAAATGCATCCACAAGTCCTTAGCCTCTGGCACAGTATCAGGAGCAAAAGCAGCACAGAGCCCATGCCCGGAGGGAGCACAGTTGCCCAGGGTTATGGGTCTGGCAAAGGAAAGAAAATCTTTTCAGGAGGCTCAGCTTTCCTTTGCAGGAGCTTACTGACTTTGAAGTAAATCTTTATAATTGTTTTCTGTTAGATTTAGGACAAGTCTGAAAGCTGTCAGTGAGTCTAAAGAGGTGAACAAATGTACATCAGGAGGGAAGAGGAGCTGGGATGCTGCAGAGTACCTTCTTGATGATCGACATTTAATGGTGCTTTGGGCTGTGGAAGGCCAGGGGATTTACTCTGATGGTCTACTCCTGAGAGCTTCTCTTAATTCATCCGCTATGTATCTGACTACATAGATCAAGTTTGGAAAAATTTTCATTTAGTAGATTGTGGCCGCCATGAGTAATAGGAAATAATTTCATGGAGGTTTTATTTGTTTTTTTTATCAGAGACTGAGACTTTTGCCACTGAGTATTAAGCAGAACACTTTGGTCAGGTGTTCAATTAATATGATGGAAGTGTATGACAACATTTGTAAATAAAACCTTAGAAAAGAAAGGGATGGAATTCCTTTGCTATGTCTGACCCTAGTTTTTTATATTTTCTTCAATATTTCATTTTAAAAAGGGATTTATAGCCCATGCTATTTTCAAAAGAAATTACGGAAGCAAAAAGTTTACTAGATAAATTTAAGCATTATGATATACATCAACAAAAAGAAAGGACAGCACAAGAGATGAGTTAGCCAAGCACAGGATTTTGTTTCTAGGTTTAAGGCAATAAGGTAAAAAATTATTTTTGTTACCATGGCATTAGATAACAACTGAAGGAAATATGCAAAATCATTCCCAGGGACAATTTTTTTCTTCTGAAATTATCCTCAAGTACAATCTTGTTTCATTGGTGCTCATATAAGGGACATCGGGGCAGTAGGGTTGGCATTGGGTACAATTTATAGAAATGCTATTTTAAAAGACTTATCATATGAATACTTTGTAAAGGTTACGGCTTAACATTAAATTAAAACTCATGGAAAGCATTTCAAGTTGGGAAGGGATCTGAGACAACAGGGTCCAAATAAATGCCACGAGACTGACTCTCTCAAATATCTGACAGCACATGCCGCCCTCTAGCAGGTGCTGGGGGATCAGCTAATGACTGAATTCTCTAACAAGTACTTGTAGGACCAAAATTCTGTTCTTAATTTAGAGTCGCATGCTCAGGCCCAGCCCTATACTCAAAGATTCAGCATCTCTAGGGGGAAGCAGAAGACAGGAATCTATCTATCTATCTATCTATCTATCTATCTATCTATCATCTATCTATCATCTATCTATATTTTTAAATTACTGGGTGTGGAGCCCAACACAGGCTTGAACTCATGACCCTGAGATCAAGACCTGACCTGAAATGAAGAGTCAGACACTTAAACGACTGAGCCACCCAGGCGCCCCTATCTATATTTTTATTAAAGTGCTACTGGCAATTCTTAGGCAAGATATGGTTGGGAAGCACTGTTTTAGGTCAGAGTCTGGTTTCAAGAGGTGTGTAGTTCAGCTTAGTTGTTTCTGAAAGGGCCTCTGGGGGTGCGGCCTGCATGAATGAGTAGGGAAGAGTGAGCCCAGAAGAAAGCACAATGAGGCAAAACTCTACCCATGCCTGGTTTTCAGGCTGCTTCCTCCAACCATCTTTTGGTCATTGTTTTAACAATCATTGTGGAACATATTACTTTAAGAAACTCTTTTTTTTTTTTTTAAAGATTTATTTATTTATTTTGAGAGAGTGAGAATGAGAGAGAGAGAGTACATGAAAGGGGGGAGGGTTAGAGGGAGAAGCAGGCTCCTCGCTGAGCAGGGAGCCCGATGCGGGACTCGATCCTCGGACTCCAGGATCATGACCTGAGCTGAAGGCAGTCGCTTAACCGACTGAGCCACCCAGGCGCCCTTTAAGAAACTCTTGAAAAGACTTCATATTTGGAGAATGTTTTCAGGGGAGATTCCCTGTTCGTCATTTTCCCTGGTTCTATTTTAATTACTCAGTGGGACAGAGACTCATGTTGGAATGCTGAAGTAAAAAAAATGTAAGCTCTAAAATTATGGTTTCATATAGAAAACCAACAGATAGACAAGAGATAAAGCAACTCTTTTTCTCAAAGCACTCCTACGTGTGCTTGACTGACTTCAAAATCCATTACTGTAACATACAAGCTACAATTTAATTCTGAAATTTGTAAGTTGGACTTCACAGCTCACTGCTTATCCCTTATCCCTCTCCTGCCCCCTCTCTCATACTTCATCTATGTCTATTTGTGCTCTCTTCCCTCATTTCCAACAGAGTTCTCCTTTAACGCTGCCCTGAAATTTAATTCTTACTAATCTAGGTACTCTAGTTAATTCTAGAGATCATCTGTATAAAAATGTTACCATGTACATGGAAAAAGGAGGAATTGGAAAGGGATATGCTATATTAACTGTGATTTATTCCATATCTCATATGTTTATAGGATGGGTTAAAAAAAAAGGCAGATCTGCTTCAACCTACAGGTTAAAAATTAAAGATCAAAGTTTGATTCGACATTGACATTCAATCCTCTCAATGTACCCAGGCATAAAAAGGGTTTCTTAAACTCTACAAGGGTCTAAGTCAAACTTTGTAAGGCACGAGAACAGACAAACCCCTCTCAAATGTACTGTCTCATTTAGACACTATAACACCTCTGAGGGAAGAAAAAGTTCCCCTTGGAGCAAATGGGGAAATCGAGGCACAGAGGGGTGCAGCATTTGCCCAATGTCACCCAGCTTATGAGTGACAAGGCCAGGCTTTAGGAATAGGTTTCAAATCCACTCCAGCCATCCGTCACCGACACATGGTGGAAAGAATGTTAAAGGCGAAGAAATAGTTTCCTAGAATAAAGTTACAGCAGTCTGAGTATCCTGCAGCTGATAACTGGGGCATCAATTTCCTTTGAAATGCAGGGCCCTAAATAATCAGCTTCTCTAGGGAAGGTACAAAAGACTTAGTGCTATAATTTATGATGCTGATCCTGATCTACAATTAGAATTCACAGGACCTGGGACATCAGATATAAAGAACCATTAATGTAACCTCTTTGTCAATATAGAAAATTGCTAGTGTTTCCGTATCTTTACAACACCTACTTCTTATTACAAAGAATGCAATAGGCCATCTTCCATCTATAATAAACTTGGTAAGATCACCATAGTTAAAAAATTCAAGATCATGTCATAAATTAAAAAAAAAAAATACAGATTTAAGGAAATGAGATAAAGGTCTGCTTACCCCTCCTTCATGTCATTAATGGGAAGCGGCACTCTGCCGCCCCTGTCTAGGGCCGACGTGATGTTTATGGCGTTCAGACGCTCTGGCTGCCACACATTTTTCACTGCCCCAAGAAAGTCTCCAAGAACCTCACTGGCCAACATTTCTTCTACATTCATATTTTTAATGAAGAATTCTGCTTGGTATGGTAACGGGAAGTCTAATTTTGGTGAAAAAGGGTATGCATATCGTTAATGAAGTCATCTTTAGAAAGAGAAATTCGAGATTTGTTGATTTCTGTCATAATCCTGGCTTTGGGGAACACCATGAATATTGACTTTAAAGGCTTTCTGTATAACGGAGGACATATCTAAAGACAGAAAACATACATTTGACACAGAATTTTACTTACAGTGTAATCAAATCCGAGGGATTTTTAGAAAGCTCCTGTAGGGCAATTTATAATTACAGAATTCGGCCAAAAAAGAGAAAACTGCCAAGTCCGCCTCCATTTTGCCAGTAACCTGCCAATCTCCTCCTCCACCAAGGTTCCCAGGTAGAAGGAGCATTTCCAGAACCCGCCGTGGGTAGGAATAATATTTTGTATTGGTAGTGTTTCAAAACTGACAAATCTTTTTTCAAGTACATTGTCTCATTTAATCATTACAAACCTAGGTAGTGCTATGCCCATGTGAATGGAGGAGGAAGTTGAGGCATACAGAAACATCCTCTCCAAATACAGAAGACATTACAAAATATCCGTAACTGCTTGTGAGTTGCTTATGGATAATTTGAAATACCGTATGTTTAATTTGCAGTATTACTGATCTTTTTAGAGCATGCTAAAACATTACTTTTACTAAAATAAATATCGGTTATAGTTTCCAGAAGAAATCTGAAGTCATAGTAAGTTCACTCTTTTGATCACTTCATAATTAAGTATTCTAGAGAATTATATTTTAAATTTCCCACAAAATTCCAGTATCTCCTCTTGTTAGCCATTTAGCTTTTCTCCTCTTCAGTATCTCATCAAACTTTCCCTCCAAAGATTTTAAAATTAATATTTATTTTAAAGTAACCAATGTCTAACTCAGACTCCTGGTATAACTAAGTAGGATAGAAATAAACAGAATTTACAGTTGGCCCTTGAGCAAAAGAGTTTGAACTATGTGGGTCCACTTATATGTGGATTTTTTTTATATAGTGCAGTACTGTAAATGTATCTTCTCTTAGGATTTTCTTAATAATATTTTCTTTTCTCTAGCTCACTTTGTTGTAAGAATATAGTATATGATACATAGAACATACAAAATATATGTTAATCGACTTATATATGTTATCATTGGAAAGACTTCTGGTCAACAGTAAGCTATTAGGAGTTACGCTTTTTGGGAGCCAGAAGTTATACACAGATTTTCAACTGCTCAAGGGTCAGCACCCCAACCCCTGCATTGTTCAAAGGTCAATCGTATTTGTTTCTCAAATGCTACTCTTCAATTCAAAAACATTTCCTGTATTCTGACTGTTCTATTAAGGTAAAGAATAGCTTTTATTTGTTTAATAATACTTCCGTAATAATAAAGGCTACCTTTTTTGGAATACTTACTATGAGGTGGGCCAAGCTAAAGGGAGTGCGGTGAATTATTCCATTTAATACTCACAACCTGAGGGTGAGTAGGTGCTTGCCCTCTATTTTCAGAGGGGGAAACCAATCTGTAGATGGGCCCAGGCTTTCATAATCATTTAAACTTGCCTCAGATGATTTTTTAACTAAGCTAAAGGAGACTGTATATAAAGTGCTCCGTGGAGTTCCCAGCCTAGAACAAGAACTTATAAAACAGTAAACTTTAACAATTATTATAAACATGAATAAGTTGTTCACCTGAATTCTTCCCTCAAAAGGAAAAGAAATTGTTTCTGGACTATACACACATTTAAAGCCCTCAGTAGTTAACTACACTACATTTATCCTCTGATGTATTTCATTAAAAAGTCATATATCTGTAAAGTATTACACTCTTATTCAATAAGAGTAGTAAAAACTAAAAATTACACAATAAATAACTGAAATCTTGATGACCTTGTTTCTTATGAAGCCTCTTTAATACTAAAGGATGCCTGATGCCAGAGGGGGAGTCAGGGAAGATGTTCAGGCTTTAGAATTTTCAAGAGAGTTTTCTAGAGTGTGGTGTCTCTTCCTAAAGATTGAGTTTTTCATGGCTCTAATCACAGAAGGTTCTTCATTCATCTTCCACACTGCCATTTATTCTGCTTGTGATTTTGTTATATTTGTTTGATGTACGGCCCATCTGCAGTCTTCTAAAATATGATATATTTATTCTATTTTATGTAGATAAGTTTCCTGTTTTATACAGATACATTTCCTGTTTTATATAGATAAACAGTAGCTTAATCATGCCACATTTTTCTCCATACTGAAAAACAGCCATGCATAAATGTCATGAAGAACAGTTTCTTGGCAATAAATAATATTTATAAATAATACCAAATATAGTTTTGAGGGTGCTAGAAGTCTATCACCCATTCATTTCACTCAGTGTTTTTACATCCACTTTTCTAAAAAAGCATGCAAAATATCTTTCTTATTTTCAATGCTCCTTTCTGGAGAACTGTTCCTTGGTTTTTCCTAATCCACGTGACCCTGCTTTGTGGCTCCTCTCTGAGACCCGCTGCCGCCACACCCTTAGAGGCTCTGGGCCGAGCAGCTGCCCGCTCTCTACTGAGCCCAGCGCCACCGCCAGACCTTCCAAAGATGAGTCATAGGAGCTTTCTAACTTTGGGGAAATCCCACGCCTGCTATATTTGGACATCACAGAGGCCAAGCGAACAGTAGGCCAACAGATTGGTGGAAGGCCTCTGAGGCACTCAACCCAATTTAGAGAATCACTCCATGTACTCTCCTTGAGCTTCATACTCTGTGATTCTCCATGCCTAATTTCCCATTAGGTCTCTCAGAGCAGGAGACAGCTGGGCAGGGAGTCAGACTGAGCGGGATTATCCTGAGATGCCACTCTTGCTACTTCTTTTCCTAAACTCATCTCATCTGGGAGAAATGGCGTGTGTGTAGGCCCTGCTCAAAGATATGTCTATCCTAGTGCCCGTAGACATTCCATCCAGACCAGCAAGGATAAATGCATGCTCTTGGCTCACTGGTTTTCATATGTAAAAGGCAGCGGGGCAGCTCTGCCTGAAATGAAAATGGAGGCTTCCAAAACCTGTCTACTCTTCCTCCCTCACCAACCCACATTCAACATCCCCAATTTAGATGAATAGCCTGTAAAGCCAACTTCCAATCCTACAGATGTCTAGCAGTCCTCCATCAGTATCTGCCTGAACATGGGTCCCCGCACATCAAACACCTGTTAGGATACCGGTATATTCTGGATCTACCAGGACTGAGACCAGACTTGAGAAGTAAGTTCAAACTGCAGATCAGGTTGTCCTGCAGTCTGTAGGGACTCCTGTACCTGAGAATGGGGAGCCCCCCTGAGAGCATAAAGGTGAGGTTAGTGGTCCAAGCCCACTGTAATGTAACCACATCACTGCACTGATGAACTCCTAAGGAGAAAGGGAATGTTGTGATGATTCTGATCGTTAATGGTATTCCAATTCTGCAGGGATAGCTTTAGGCGGGGTGCAAGCATCTACTTACAATTGAAGTTGGGAGTGAAAGTCTTCCTGTTCCGAGCAGGAATACCTACCAAAAGCCCTTGGGACGCAGAAGAGGGGAGAGGAATCTTCTGTCCAGGCCCACAGAACTGGGATTTGGACTTGCTTTTCATATATGAAAGTCACTTTAAACTTTAAACTAGCACACTTGTCTGCAATTGATACTGCCAAAATACCTGGGGGAAAAGCTCATGGAAAGGGGTGCAAAATCTTTAGGCAATCTTCCCAGTTATGTTTTGCAGTACCAATTCTATAGAAATTACTTTCCTTCATACAGTACAAAGGCAATTTTTAACTCAACCTTTATGAACTACCACAAATTCCAAATTAGTATTTGCTCATTTAATTGTACTTGCAAAGAGAACTCTGAATTCCCTATTTAGGATGTGCAGTTGTTTTACTAATTTTAGGGGTAAAAATGCTGTGTCCGTTCTTCTTCTGTTACCCTCATAAATGATATCTAGGATAGAGAGGTGTATCCCATGATATATAAATTTTAACTACAAAGTCTTTAGCAGTACGTATTTTTCCCAATCAAATGCCAAAGTCGGATCAGAATATTTGACAGCACAATTCTTAGAACATGTCCCTAAACTTCCAAATCCTTGGGAATCACTTACAATTTGAGTATACGTAACTCCAAATTGCTGATGGACTCCAATAATGCATGATTAGCTATTCAGGAAGGAGACTGTGACCCAAATTCCAGTTTATTTCCATCAACAACTCTCTGTCTTCACACACAACTAAACCACTACCTATCATCAGTTTTATAATAAAACTAGCTACTAATTACTGATCGTGGACCCTGTGCTCAGCCCTGTGTTAAGTACATTTCAATCCTTAACTCATAGACTCCTTCCTTACCCCAGACTTGGGAGAGAAATGCTAGTCTTAGTCTCATTTTGCAGATAATGAAACCAAAGCCCACAGAGATAAGTGGCCTATGTGCTTGGCTCCCTATTCTGAGCTTTTCAGCACCAACACCCATCATGATATTTTATAACCAATTAAAGATTGCTTAGCTTTCTTTTCTACACCTTACCATTTCATTAGTTACATTAAGTATGTGGTACCTGAAAGTCTTTAACTGTATTTTACATAGATATAAACCGTAATGAAATACTTCTTGCAAATAAGAAAACAATCAGCAACATATCTTCCATACCTACCTTCTGCTGACATTATATTAATTATCAAATTATGCCTTGCAGTCTCAAAGGTACGCCTATTGTAGGCAGTTATCTATTAGAAAAAGAAAATCATATTAAAGAAGTGAAATGTTATTTGGGAAACAAAATTCATTAAGGACAAAATGAAAACAAATTGTCGTTCTTTCCATTTTCATTATTTATGTACTTACAAAATGTGCCTTCTCCAGGCAAGAACAACTCAGAGCTTTTAGCAATGTTACGGGAAAATAAATAATTAAGCAAGTCTATTTAACATGCTAAAACAAAAAGTTAAAATCAGAAAGACCCTTTTACAGAACATCGTTAAGTGCTAGCAGCAATGCAGATGCATCATTAGTAAATGGATTAACCATTAGAAGTTACTTACCACGGCCGTTCTAAGATTTCAAAAACAAAACAAAACAAAACAATATATTTTTGTACTTTTAAGTGGAGCTTGAGGATTATACTAAAAAGTACCCTTTAAAAAAAAAAAAGCACATCTTCTGTGTTGCTTGCATTCAGTACTAAACTGCACACCAACCAGTCAAAATATGCATGAATAACCCCTTAGAAATCATATCTCCCTTATGATGGGAGTAAGAGCAGTAAGGATCATAGTCTCTAAGGCTTATGGCACATGCCCCAAAACACAAATCAATACCTTTGTAGAGTCAAAGATTAGTAAACATTTGCAGAGCCAATGAACTTACATCAAAGTCAACTCAGAAACAGCCACTGCAAACAACAAAGCAAAGGCCAACAACAGGATATGGCTTCAAAAATTAAGGAATAATTAACTTTATAACAGATATTAAATCACTCAGACAGGTCTGCAGTACCTCAAAAACAACAAAGGATTGTGCAATAGTCTTAGCATCCCAGCACTAGCCTCCTGGCAGTGACTGAAGCTGGAGTGAGCACTGAGACGAAAGAGCAGGACAAAACTGACTCAAACTAAAAAGAACACTCTTGCCTGTTTAAAAATAAATACTGAAGATTTTTATAGCATCGTATAAGAGCTTTAAATGAAAGAAATCACACTTATCAGAAATATTATTTGAGAGAAAAATAAAACACCGGAATCTTGGAATAAACAAACGTTTAAAATATTTCAAAGTACATATTCTGAGAAGCATATTATTGCACAAAGTCAAAAGGATTTTTCTGCCCTCAATTTGTCAAATTTCTGTTGGATTTAATGACTTCCTTGTTGCTATCTGTTGGGACACATAATCAACAAGGTTCACTCGGGACACTAAAATTAAGACTAGTCATTAAAATAAATTAGGAACTATTGTTCACAAAGAAGCAACTGAAATGATGCAAAAAAGACTTGATAATCTTCATGATTTTAAAGGTTTACCCTGCAAAAAAATTTAATCCTACTCTCAATGGAAAAAAAAGTATCAATTTTCTACTCTTTGTTAGATTATCTCACAGCTAAAACTCAGAAACAGACATTTTCTAGCTAGTGGCAAGATTTTTATGGCTAGCCTTTCCATAATTATCACAAATTTCATTATTATAAATTTCATAAATTCTAATTTTTTTTTAAAGTCACAGGCTCCTGAAGAGGGTGAAGTATGTTTCATAAATCAGGAAGAGAATTTTATTACCTGAATTTATATTTAATGTTTAATTTTTACAGCTGTAACAGAATGCAGTCCTTCTATCACTTCTAATGAGATATTTAAATACAGTAACATTCTCAATCAACTTTTACTTATCATGATGATCTCACTGATATGAGGAATTCTTAATCTCAGGAAACAAACTGAGGGTGGCTGGAGTGGCGGGGTGTGGGAGGGATGGGGTGGCTGGGTGATAGACATTGGGGAGGGTATGTGCTATGGTGAGCGCTGTGAATTGTGTAAGACTGTTGAATCACAGACCTGTACCTCTGAAACAAATAATACATTATATGTTAAAAAAAATAAGAATATAGTAGGAAGGGAAAAATGAAGGGGGGAAAATTGGAGGGGGAGACGAACCATGAGAGACTATGGACTCTGAGAAACAAACTGAGGGTTCTAGAGGGGAGGGGGGGTGGAGGGATGGGTTAGCCTGGTGATGGGTATTAAAGAGGGCACCTACTGCACGGAGCACTGGGTGTTATACGCAAACAATGAATCATGGAACACTACATCAGAAACTAATGATGTAATGTATGGTGATTAACATAATAAAATTAAATTTTACTTATCATGATGATGTGAAGTCCTTCATGGCAGAGAGGTATGTGTGTATACTTTTTTGATCCCCTATTTCTAGAACAGTGGCTGATCTATTTTAGATGTTTAATAAATACCTACTGAATAAATTAATCAGGGGGGTTATCTGATTAAATGAGTTTAAGATATGCAAAATTCTTTTATAGAATTTTTTAAATACTGTAAATATGTTACTATATATGAATAAAGAAATGTTATTTACAGATTAATCACTACTTGTGTTAAATGAAAAAGATGTTAAATTTTCATCATTATCTTTTTAGCATATTATTTGACATATTTATAACATTTACGGTATTAGAACATCATGAACCCCTGACACTCCTGGCTCAACACACGTGTTTCTCTCCTATCCCTCTCTCCAAACAGAAGTAGCCATTTTGAGTTTTATGCTTATCATCCCATTCATTTTAAATATCATCTTATGATAAATGCATGTATGCTTAAAATCTGTTATTTAGTTTGCTTGTTTTTGAGCTCCAGAGAAATGTTTAACTCTATGTAGTCTTTTGGAACTTGTTTTTTTTTATTCAACATTACGTTTACAACATTTATTGATCTTGCTGGGCAAGCTGACATTGTTGCTGTAAACATTCAATGATATTGTAATAGACTTGTATGGTGACAGATGGTACTTCACTTGTGAGTATAGCATAACTAGAGAATTGTCAAATCACTATGTTGTACACCAGAAACTATTTAACACTGTGTGTCAACTCTACTAAAAAAAATTTTTTTTAATTCACTGTATGAAAACTCCATAATTTATTTATCTATTCTGTTGATGAACTTTTCTATCTGTTCTCATGCTGATAGACTTTTGGGTCTCCACTGCTCTGTGGATTTCCAGTGTTTTGCTATACAAACATTGTTCAATAAGCATGACTGTCCATGCCTTCAATGGACGTTTGCAGATGTTTCTTTTGGGTATATGCCTAGAAGTGGGACTGCTGGATCATAGGGTACAGTGATACTCAGCTATGTAAAATATTCAATACTGTTTTCCAAAGTACTTATCCAACCCATATCCAACCTCAATGACTTTTACCAAGGGTAAAATTCTCATTGTGGTCTTAATTTGAGCATTTTTCATTACTGATGAGAAAGTCTTTACCTAATTGTCATTTATGTCTTCTCTTTAGTGAGATGTCTGTTCATGTCTTATTTCTGATTTTCATGTCTTATTATAGGAGTCCTTTTTTATATTTTAGATACACATCATTAGTCAGCTATATATTTTTAAAATAACTTCTCCCAGTTTGTGGGTTGTCTATTTTTTTAATGGTTTATTTTGATGAACACCAGTTGACAAGTTTAACACAGTAAAATTTCTCAATCTCTCAAGTAAAAATATGTAGGTATTATTTAAGAAATGCTTCCCTACCCCAAACTCAGAAAAATATTTTTCAGCATTTTCATATACTAGCTTAAAATTTTGCTTTTCACGTTTAAATCCTTAAACTATCTAGACTTGAGTTTTATATTTCCTATGAAGTAAGAATCTAATTTTGTGTTTGCCATATGGCAAACCAATCCTCTGAGCACCATTCAATAGACATCCTTTTCGCCGATCATCTGCGGCACCATCTCTTCTGAAATACATCATTGTTCCTTATGTAGATGTACCTGTTTCTGGGCTATTCTATTAATTGATTAATTTGTCTATCTCTGTATCAATACAACCTTATGATAATTACCATAGATTTATAATAAATCTTGATATCTGGAAAGGAAAGAAAACTTTCCCCCTTTGTTTCTTCTTTAGGAGTATCTTGATTGTTCTTGGCCATTTATCATCTTTACAAATTTTAGAATTAGTTGACATTAGTTTCATGAAAAAGCCTATTGCAATTTTTATTGGAATTGCATTGAATCTATAGATCAGTTAGGGGGAAAGTGATGCCTTCATGATTTCGAGTATTCCTATCCCTGAATAGATGACCTTTTCACTTATATAATCTTAGTATTGATTAAGTTTTATAAATTTCTCCATACAAACTTTGCATACCTTCTGTTAGATTTATTCTAAGTACCTTACAATTTTTGTTGTTATTAAAAATGATATCTTTTTAAAACATTTATTTTCTCAATACTTGTTTTTCATGTATAGAAATATAACCAAATTTTTTTTATATTGAGCCTATAACTTACTACTAGGCTTTCTTAAAATTTTAGTAGTCTGTAGACTCTTTATATCATTGACTATTCTATTTCTTTCCTTAAATACTTACAGATTTAATATTTTTTACTTTACTGCACTGGCTAGGACTTATAATATATTCTGTAATAGATGTGGTGGAGGGGTTCATTCTTGTTTTGCTCTTCAATTTAAATGGAATTCCTCTAGTGTTTTCCCATTTAAGAAATGACATTTTCTCTTATTTTGGGTAAATAACCTATATAATTTTACTGAATTTTTTAAAAAATTATTTTGACAATAACTCAAAATAACTTTCTTTCTTTATATCTCGATATATTTCCATATCTACATAGATATAGGTGTCTATACATTCTATTTATGTATCTATGTATTGTCTTAAGGAAACAGATTTATTCATAGAAATCACTGAAAAGTCGTGTTAATACAAACTTCAACTCAAAAGAAGAAACACCTTGTCTTGGCCAACATGGAAGCTCATATCCACAATCTATGGCTGATTAAAACTCTGGAGAAAAACTCAAAGCATGCAATCCCCTGAGAGTTTATACCACATAGAAAATATGCCACTCAGGACCTGTACAAGCTCCTGGAAATTCCATTAGTAGTTCCTATGCTGCTGCCCTGGTCACTACCACTAAATCTTTATGGAATTGATCAGTTAAATTAGAATCTAAGCTCCTGCAGGCATCAGGGCATAAAGGACTCTCCTGCCATTAACTGCCATTATAATTCTGATTTTGGTGGGTATAGTAGACCAGGAAACACTTCTACTAGATTTTATATCCATTTTATTTTTTACAACATATTAATTCCCATTAAAGGCTCAATGTCAGTATTTTGTTTTTATTATTGTTTTAATTTCTAATACCTTCCAGGTGTGATGTTAGGTACTAGGCTAGAATCTGATGAATTCTAATACCACCTCAAGAATAAGGGTCAAACCTATCAGCATGGCTTACAGAGCCCTCAAAGATCTACCCCTACCAACATCAACACCTCTGTTCCCATCATTTGCCCTCTGGGGTGTGTCCTGCCTTCTAGTCACAATCAGAGTTCTCTGAGATCATGTGGTTTTGTTCATACCTCCAAGATTTTGATGTGTTGTTTTGCTAAGATAGCCTTCCTTCTACTTGTAAAGTGAATTCCTATTTACCCTTTTATGACTGCATCAAACAGTACCTTCTGATTAGAATGGTTATGACGATGTTGGCTAACAATGGATTTCCATTCCAGTGCTTCAACGACTGGACCAGAATCATGGCAGGACTCACCTCTTACTCATCTTTCTATCACCAGCAGTTATCATAATACTTAGCACATGGTAGGAGCTCATCAGAGTCTGTTTAAAGACCGTATTTCAATGAACATGAAAATTTGAAATTAATATATAAAGCAAATAAGTGTTTTAAGTTTGTATTTATCTTCTTAAATAGAATTCATATTATAATAATCTATCTCTTTTATTTTTTTTTAAGATTTTATTTATTCATCAGAGACAGAGGGAGAGAGAGAGAAGCAGAGGGAGAAGCAGGCTCCCAAGGAGCAGGGAGCCCGATGCGGGACTTGATCCCAGAACCCTGGGATCATGACCCGAGCCGAAGGCAGACGCTTAACCATCTGAGCCACCCAGGCGCCCAATAATCTATCTCTTTTAAATGGCTTTAAATTTTTTTCCACTAATTTAGATTGCTCTTTTTTTATACATAAGAACTAAAACAGAGACCTCTGTAAATGAACAGAAAGGAATGGTACATTTCCAAACGTTATCTAATGTGTTTCTATGCATAAAATACTGAAAACCACTGTCATATAATTTTAATTTCAACATTTGAAACTCAAATTACAAAAAACCCAAAAATATAATTTTGCTCTCTCTAATTAAATTACCTCAATTATTGTTGGCTTCCCCACATTTTCAGCTGTTGGAGACCCATATAGGACTCCATCACTATATGGTGTCCTTTGGATATATCGAAGCCATCCAGGTCGGTCTGGGTAACCCATTAAATTTGTGTTAAATGTAATAGGATCATTACTAATCTCGCCTAGATAAGAAGCACAGAGTTAAGACATAAAACAGTTATTTTCACACATGCTGCTTTCATAATTTCAATCAAAATATTTCTAAAATCTTTTTCTTACATTTGTAGCAAACTAAACACACACCAAAAAAAAAAAAAAAATTCCATCTGGGAATTCAGATTAGAGCCTCAAGTAAAGAAAAAATCTTTTTGGTTATTTAGTTGCCTAGAAATCTCACGCAACAAAGAAAGCAGTCATACAATGTCTTTGGAAATTTTGTTTTCTTTCCTTTTTTTTTTTGGTCACACAGGAGTGTGGAAGTTCTGCCAATGAGACAACTATCTTTCGGGAAAATTCCCTACTCATGCTGATGTAGTCATTCTCTTGAGAATTCTTTTCTTTCATAAAACTCTGGACACTATCGAACTAATCTCAAGGGATATCTCAAAATGATAAAAGTGTCATCAAAACAAAAATAATGTAATTTTAAAACTTTGGAGAATGAGTTGCTAAATCCAAAAGAACTATAACTAAGAATAATAACAACAGCATCATTTGTTAGAATGTGCCTGGCCTCTTCAGGCACAGTTTCACCTGATTTTCAGACACATCTATAAAGGGGACTAATATTAGCCCTAATTTTACTGATGGGATATGTAATTTTTCAAGTTAAGTACCTTCTCAAATGGTGAGATTAGAATTTAATCTCGGCTGATTCCAGAAACTAGGCTCTTAACTACATATTTTCTTCCCAAACATTGGAGCTACTGTTCAAAAGGTTCATTTATATAGTTTTACAAACATAGAATGCCACATAAAAAAACATTTTTTAAATAACTGATAAAAAGATTACTTTTTCTTACTGCTGGTAAGAACATGGTTATTTTCTATGACGGTTTTCAGGTATGTTATTTATCATATAACCCACAAAAATAACATTTATATTAATTCTAATGCTCTAATTTTCAGAAAATTCCTTTTTTATTTGTTACTTAAGTAGTTATAACAACATATTTTTTCTTGCTATTCTTTCTATATCTTCATTAATCTGATGGCATTCATGATAATCCAACATAACATAACTTAAACCAATGGTGAATTAAATAAAGCACCACAATTGGTATTATTTTGAAGGAAAAATTAATCTCCATTATATTATTATGAAGTTAAAATTATCTCATACGGTAAAAGCTTTCTTGAGAATTCTTTCTTAATACCATATTTCATTCCCTTCTACAACATATGTTTGGTCTTCCAAAAATCAATGTACTATGTAAGAATCTAAGCCTTAATACAAAAAATCATAATTGTACAGCTATAATTATTTCTATGCGAACATAGGTAGGTAGGTCATTTGTCAGACACACAAAACTCAACACTGGAAAACTAGAAATAAGCTTTTATAAAAAATTCAAAAATGAGTTATTTCCTTCTGTAATTAAATTTCTAATCTTAAAATGGGAAATATCCTACAACAACCAATTTATCACACACACAGACCATCTCAAATAATGTTAATAATATTTGATCATATATCATCTAAATTATGCACACTGAACAAAAAGAAAAATTAATAAGTTAACCACTTTTTTTTCCCACTGAGAACATACCAGGCTTGGGGTAAGGTGGAAATTCCCCCTTAAAATACTCTCTTTCCAAAACATGAACAAAGAGGACACCTGCGGACGGGTATACATTCCGATCAGAGTGCACCTTTGAGAAAATAGTGTACACTGAAAACAAAGAGGAAAGATAAGAGATAGAGAGACAAATAATGAATTCACTTATGCTGTAAAGAAGTGTTTCACTTCTTTAGAAATTTCTGGGAAAACTAAAGCAACATGCAAGATATTGTTAAGAAGTTTGTTTTAAAGAGAAGTGATTTCAGGACAAAACATGGAACAACTCTTTCAACATGGTATGTTTAGAGATTTTCAAATATTATATAAACAAAATTAGGCACATTTAATAACTTGTTATTAAATAATGAAGACATCCATAATATTTTTTCAGTAATTTCTTTTTATGGGCATTATTACCAACAAAATATATCATGAGAACTGAATGACTACATAATTACTACAGTTTATTTTTTTTCCTTTTTTCAAAGTAAAGTATAAAGAGTAATTTTTAAAAGGTAAGAATCTAAACTGTATTAACTATTTGCTAGACATAGCATATCAGACTATATAATGCCATCAGTATATGTAAGGTGAATTTCATATACACTCATAAAAAATGCATTGGATACTTTTTCTGTATTATTCCTTGTATGTCTCCTCATATCTCTCCTTTATTCCATTTTACCTGATCTTGACATTTAATAAGGCACACAATATAATCTATTCTACCATGCTGTATCCTAAATAAACAATAACAATCAGATAATAAAGTTCAGTGCAAATGATTTCTTTAAATGAAATGGGGCAGATTTCACGATTTGCTGATTACTTAAGATATGTGATGTGAGTACACTAAATTGGCTAAATTGGTTTGATTAGTTCCCACCTATTGTTTTTCCTGTGATATCATCGTCTCCACCAACACATTACTGCCATTACACTTGTCACCTCTACAATCTCTTTTAGTTTTTCTATCTTCCTGATTGGCTAGTGGCTGTAATTTTTAAACAGATAAATCCAGTCCTTTTTTCTTAGTCACTGAAGGATTTGTAAATGTAGTAATTAACCTTGAGAACTTCAATGTTGCTCACCCTAGGCTCACAACTAACTAAAAGCCCTAGATAGCAAGATCATTGACAGTAAATTTTTCAGCATAAAAATAGGAACTCCCACAAAATGTTTCTTTATCTGTGAAAACTTGTCCCTGCAGTTCTGTGGATGGCTGCCAAAAATGGAGAACTGAACTAAAATATTTGGCTTGTAGCTTCATGTATCCATAGCTTTGCTACTAAAACACAACTTCAAAGGCTATGTAACAGACGGAAGGAAGCTGCAAGTTACGTTTAACTAGGTATGTCGAGAGACTCCTTTCCTGACTTGCTTTGCTAGTATTCCTCAGTAGTCTTTACATGGCATTTAGAGTATCCAGCTTCTTGTCCCCAAGAACAATTTACTCACCTGTGGAAATGGTCCCATTCCAAAGAACAAGAATGAACAAACCACAGAAAAACAGTGAGGATGAGAATTTGCATCCCCCCCCCCCCCCCGCTGGACTCAATGTTCCCTGAGTGCTAGGTGCTGTGGAGAATGTGAAGACGAAGGAGACTCAGTCCCTGCCTTCCTCACCATCTGGCTTGGGAGACCAACGCCCACCTAACTAGGTATGATACCTGAGGTATAAACTCCTCTGGTAATACCTGGAAAGATGGCAAGGAGCAATGGAAGCTGGAAAAGATTTATGTAAGAAGTAGAATTCAACATGGCTCGTAAAATACCGGCAAGATTCTGAAACTCATAGATGGGGATTCGGGCATTTCAGTGGTGAAAACTTGTACAAGATATAATTGTGGAATACTGGGGGGCCTTTCAAGGAAAAAAATTAAGCCAGTGATCCTGGGGTATAATTAAGGTAAAAGGAGAAAAACTGGTAAGAAAGTCAAATTATGGAGATTTGTGAACCCCTACTGAGAAGTTACTTCATTCTATACCTAAAGGTATTTAAATTCCAGATCACAACCCTACATTCAAAGCACAGGAGTATTTTGAATAACCTAAAGGAATCTCTCCAGAGTTTATGTAGCTTATTCTTTCTAGAGATTAAAACACCTTGAAGTCCAGCACTGAATTTTATTTACCTTTGTTATTTGCTTGGCACCTAGAAGGTGTCTGCCTTAGTTGAATAATTTTATCGATGCCTATTGAATGGATGAATACCTTCTAGTTAAAAAGCACTGTGGAGGTAAACACAGGTGCTATGTTTGTGGACTAAGTATATATATATAATACTTCACTTAAATTTCCATTTTATAATTTGAATTAATTCTCACAGGTGTGTCGCAGTTTATGGGTTATCATCCTCCATTTACATTACAAACTCCTGACAGTCTCCCTTAGTTTTTGCTGCCATAAGGTAGTAAAAGCTAGCTTATAAAGCCAAAAGAAAGGTTGTTCATATGAAGCAATATTAAAATGATTCTGTTTTCTATATAGCACTTGCCAAGGCCTGAAGTGGAACCCTAAAAGGGTACCTGCCACTGCCTATCACCTCACTTCAAGGACTAGTATCACCTCACTTCAGGGACTAGTACAGAACATCTCAGTTTCTGGTTCATAAAAAACCTTTCTGTGATCTCCAGAGCCAAACCACAATTCACCATAGCCCTCGTGGGTTTTAAGATGACACGCACATTTCCGTATTCACATGTACTCAATTGCCTTTCTGCAAGCTGCTGAGCCGCATCTTTGCTGGTCAGTTACCTTGGCAACTCGACAGTAAAGACTGCTTCTCTATAAGTCTAGGACGCCATTCACTTTGAGAAAAACATGATATGGATGTATGGTACATTCATCATCGAGAAATGGAAAATGACTAAGCCCTTATGTTTTGTTTGTGAAAATAATACTTCCTTTCTGTAGCATCAGTTTAAATTATGGGCACCCACACAACATTTTAGAGAAGCGCCCTTTACCTTACCTTCCCCATTTGCTACTTACAAAACAGATCGCTCTTCAACAGAGGCTATTTGGGCAGTATTTACACCTCGCATCCTTTTCGAAACAACAAATGACACAGGATTCTAAGTTATAGGCTCTTGTTCTAAAAGCAAGCTATATAAATAATGCTGATATGGTCTGCACCAACAGCAACAACGGCTGCACTCCGGCTAACACGTGTTGCGCTCACATGTATCTAAGTAGTACTCACAAACAGAAAGCTTGAAGCATACTGTCTTCCTTAAAAGCAAATCCTGAAAATCAAATTTAAACTCTAAAAATGCACAGTACTAAAATCTAATAATCTCTGAAATATACATGTGTACAGTGTCATGCTAATCAAGCTGAGGTCACAGGGTCTGGTCTCTCTGTGTATCGCATGGCTTTGCAATTGTCTACAGCTGCAAATCCATTACCTCTGCAAACACATGCCACTGGATACAAATGAAACTGGAAACCAGTGTGTGGCTAAATCCCGTGCAAATCCATCACCATTAATGGGAAAAACAATTAAACCAAAAGTCCAACCCACAGGGAGTCAAAAACATCATCTTCAAACAGCGAGGGTAGCTAGATTTGCAAAGATTAAAAACTGAAGACAGGTAGTCATAAATAACAGATTTTTTTTAAAGGAAAAATTACACATCTGAGAAGAGCAAAAGAGTGTATGGGCAAGTGGCCAGGGTAATTACGTCACCCTCCCTAAACGCAGTTCAATGTCCTTCATTACCATACCACCAAAAACTTCACAAAAACTGTTCTCTGCACATTTTAGTCATAAGGTACAGAAAAACTACAGGCCATTTCAACAATTATGTGACAGCAGAGAGCCAAGAATCAAGTAACAGACCGTGATGGCCATAGCAATAAAGTGGGACCTCATGCTAGCTAAATAGCATCCTGTCTCCCTTTATTAATAGTCCATTTGAAATTTTCTCCCTAAGGGAGCAACATCGTGATGAGCATGTGCATTTGAGTGCTTATTTACAATTACTTAAAAACAAAAGCAAATTTGGATGTATTTAGTAAACATTAAATTTTGAAAGGATTATGGTGGTGCATTGCTAATGAATTTACAGCATATAACTTCACAATTATCACAATGATTATTTTTAATGGTATACGCACGTGCACAGGCACGTACCAAGTCCCTTCTCTACAAAAAAGTCCAGAGAACACTCACCAGACCTTTTTCCTGCATCACCAAGAACGAGTACATGGTCATAAAATAAACTAGCTGCTGAGTGTGAGACCCTGCAAGTCCCAGCTAGATTTAAATCTCAAAGCTGTCTCTCCACAGAACTCTTTGAGAAGAAAGTCATAAAGTATTGTCAGTATTCACGTCTGGGTGGCCTTTGTTAGGTACCTATTATGTGTATCTCTCTCTCATAGATGCTTTATCAACAAATTAATCGTTCTAAAAGGTCCATTTACACCATCACTTGATAATGTGTAAGGTTTAAGATAGTAAATCCTCACTTTACCACAAACCCCCAAAGAAGGAAACATTTCAGAGAGCTGAGTTTTCTCAAGTACTGACTCAATCCTTTTTCATGATGGTAGAGGATCATCATTTGGCACATCAATAATTGCACTCTGCTCTATTATATAACGATGCCCTTACGGACCGTTTGGTTGCCTTGTCATTTACTGATCACACACCTCTGCTAGCGGGTCCCAGTCTGCTAATGCTTTTTAAGGTTGTGTGTTTTATAGATTTTCTGTTTTCTCCTCTGTAGACAACTTGTCAGCTGTCATTTCTCATTGTTATCAGTATGTTTCCTATAGCAGCTTCTCTATCCCTTCTAATTTGCTGCTATTAATCTGCTGCAGGTTTAGAAACCAGACTACCAAATGAGGTGGCGTTGTGTGTTGAAGTAAGAACAAATTTGTTCTGTCTTAACGCACGCGGGGCTCTGCTAGATGTGAAAAACAGAAGCCTGCGTTTGCCACATCGATTTTGGCCACCCGAAGACCCTTCTGTGGCTTATTTCCTGGTCCTTAGCTGATGCGGTATACTTCTGAATAGATGATCTTGCTATAATTGGGACATAGCCATTACTTGCGATGGCAGCGTAAACTCCATGTATTAAATGCATTCAGAAATAAATAAGTGT